TGCCTTTTTGTTCTATTCTTACAAAGTTATGAGCCGTCAAAAACCTGAAAACTGGTACGAGCCACCTTAACTTATTTGCACAATTTTTTTTTACCGCTCCTCGCATCGGCTACATGTATCTAATTCGAGTTTTGGTTGGTTGACTAGATTGCCTGTGTTCTTTGTGATCTGTGTGTGATTTCTTTGGTTTTTGACACTCAATTGAAAACCGCTCTTAACTCTCTTTATACAACTTGACTTGAAACTATTATTCATAGGATGGAATGACAACCTCTTTCTTCTGTTGAAGGCTCTTTGTTATTATTTTTAACAGGATGCCGGCCAACACACCACAGATCGAGAAGACACCAGGAAATAGGAGACGGTACGCTGCTAGTGTAGATATTTTAGGGGCATTTTATCCAATTAAGTTTCAAGCTCAAGCCTATTGCTCACTCAATTTTAAAAAAAAAAACCACATATATATTTCTTGGTTCTGGATATCCTTGGCCTGTTACACGCTCTCTAGGAGAAAGCTAAAATATGAAACTCACGTCTTAGCGAAATTGCAGATAGTAAACTCGTGACTCGTTTAGACCAATCGCACGGGAGCGAAAATATTTGATGGATTATAACGACAGTTATTGGCATTTCCTTTGGCTTGACGTATTTTGCACACTGTTTTTTTTACCGCTCTTCACATCGGCTACATGTATTTGTGTCGAGTTTTGATTGTTTCCCTGGATTGCCTGTGTTCTGTGTGATCTGTGTGAGTGATTTCTTTGGTTTTGGACACTCAATTGAAAACCGCTCTCAACTCTCTGTATACAACTTGACTTAAAACTATTATTCATAGGATGGAATGACAACCACTTTCTTCTGTTAAAGGCTCTTTGTTATTTTCTAACAGGATGCCGGCCACCACACCACACATCAAAAAGAGCTCGGTGTAGGTTTTTTAGGGGCATTTTATTCAATCAAGTTTCAAGCTCAAGCCTATTGTTCACTCGATTCTGTTTTTAAATTTTATATTTCTTGGTTCTTTCTTTTTGGCTACTTAATGCATTCAAACTGGATTGTCATGGTCTGTTACATGCTTTCTAGCAGAAAGCTAAAATATTAAACTCACGTTTTAACGAAATTGCGGATAGTAAAGTCCATGCCCTTATCGAGACCCTGTCATGGGTATTGAACATCACCATTGAGGGTAAACGTTTTTATCTTTTTTGTTTGTGCTTACGTAGTTAACTCACGTATGCTAAAGGTCTTTTTGAGTTACGTTCTTTAAAAATGCCCTTTATTTTGATAATTTGGATAAAAATTCCACGGGCCTGTTTTAGTACCTTCCTCTCCCCCACCCCACCCCTGGTTTTTTTTTTTTTATCAAATAGTTTTGTTAGTTAGTACTATTTTCATGATTGCCTCTTGTGCTAATGTCTTCAATGTGCGTATCATTTTTCAGATGCGTGCTTGTGTAGTGATGAATGACGCCGCTGCTTGACTATTACGACTGTGCACAACCTTTGCATGCTACGTCCGTCCGTGCTACGAAAGCCTGTTTGCGGTTACAGCAGGACAGGCTGTTTGCTGTCATGTAACGAGCGAGTCGTGCGCACGAACTGCGTTTCTTGTTATGAGAAGAAGTACAACTATAGTGTAACGCCTTCAGGACCACAGCACACCTCGCCCTACCCTCCGTGAACCATGTTAGAGAGTAACCATGTCATAGAGTAACACACTAATGGCCGCCATTTTGTTATAGCTGTGTTCTGTTGTAACATGAGGAATTTGCAAAGACGACATGGCTTCCTGACGAGGGCTGCCGTATTACTGAACATGCCAACGAAAAACACTAGAATCTATTTGGTTGCACCTTAACAGAACACTTTAAATATGAGCACAACTGTAGAATAAATCACCGCCTACTAAGTGAACGTAAAATAAGATCAATAACTAGAACAAACGAAACCACAACTCGGTGGAAGTAACCTTTCTTTTACATGAAAAATGTCCAAGTAATTGCTTGAAGTAGATGTAAAAAAACTCTTTCCTGCGGCATCAGTTTTCGACGCTAAATTCAGTGGCACGTTTATATTTAGTAGCAAGAGCAATTAGTATCTTGTTTAAATAGGGGTTTTTTTTGTAAATAGTGGATGCGGCCCAATTCAGTTTCCAGTTTACCTTGAGCGGCATCTCAAGTTAATTGTATATACTCGGCGAAAAGTTGGCATGCTTTTAGACTTCGTAAATAAGATAAGATTTTTTTCTGCGAGAGGTAGCAGTAAAGGGGGAGAAATATTTTTTTTTACAAAATTAATTCGTATACTATAATATGTCGTAAACTTTTCTTCTCTCTGTCAAGAGGGGTTTTGTGTAAGCATTCAAATTACTGTAGTGTACATATCATGGCGATATCAGTGTAATGCTTTTGTAAAAATGTTCAAAGCCAGGATGCGTTACTGTCAGTAACCGTTAATGGAAAATGTAAGGAATACTAATATTACATAGTGAAAGTATTAAATACGAGGCTCAAAAGGCTCTTAAAAATGTCAAGTAGTTGCTTGTAAACTAAACGTTTCAGGTCTGGCCCTGTAGTAGGTGGAATGATTGAGCCACGCCGTACAAAAAACTGTACGCGCACGCACGCACGAAATACATAGTAAAAAAAGGCGTGCTGCGACAAATGAAAACCATTGTTTTAGCGTGCGTATGTGTAATTCAAATCATTTATTATAAAAACATTCGTGTTTTGTCGTTGGTCGGATGGCCTGGGTTTGTTAATGGCCCACTAGATTCCAAATGTAGCGTTATTGGTAGTTCTACGATTTGTATATAGACTGATTTGAGTTTTATCTTGCTTCTGTTATTATTAAAGAGATACTGCTGAATTTTATGTATATTTGTTGTAATAAACATTAACACGAAAGACTTGCCAATTTTGTTTTTCTGTTGTCCATCTTGACCTGCTGTGCCTGTGTTCTGGAGACAATTTGTTCTCTGAGTGGAATGTAATTCTTTCCTTCCCAAAAGTGATGTGATCAACACGGTCTTTATCATCCTTATAAGAGGTGAGACAAAAAACATTATTATTTAGCTCATTGTATCGATGTTGTGCCAAATGCTTACAACCATTACAAAAGACAGGTATGGATATCGAGAAAGAGAATTCATATTTTGATCTTGGCGATAAATAAGTTGGGAAATGTTCCTTTACTGCATCATGCTATCAGTCAGCGGTTTACCCCGGGAATAGCGATTTGTTGATGGTTTAAATTTTTTATTGTTTCTCCGGTAAGTGACCAATTAAAGGGACACAGTCAGCTTTGGGACCGCGCTGACCTGGACAATAGTTTTCTCACTTTGAAAAAATTTCACCTAGACCTGAAATCAAAATACATCGAAATCTGCGTCAATCTTGGCAGTGTTTTGCTTGATTTTCAATGGTTTACTGAAAAACTTGTTTTTGAGTGTGCGTTTGCTCATCCTGATGTTATTTTTATCATTTCGTAAAAAACAGTATGGATCGCGTCTCTGTAATGGGCAAATTAGCTATGAAATGGAATCTAATGCGCTTATGTGCCAGCTGACTGTGTCCCTTTAAAGGAGCTACGTCACCGTTTGCGCACATTGAAAAGTTTAGCCTCAATTTTTCAAATTCGTCGTTTGTAATCCGTCTTAATCTTCTCCATCCCTAGCCATCCTTGTTCCTTAGGGTTCCTTAGGATCTCTTTGGTGTTTTTCCATCTCATTAAATTGTTATTTTTAGATTTCCTACCATTTAAAGGTAATTTTGTACGTGGCTTAAATAACTCAAAATACCGTGACTGACCTCCTTTAACATGATCCGATCTAAATACCGAAGCCAATTGGGCAACTTTTCACCTTACAGCCCTATTAGGGCGATAAAGTTTGTTCTTTATCAATCGTATTCGATTCTCACCCATGCCAGTTTAAATGAAACAACCGAGTGATGATCACCATTCATTAGACTGAACACAATCACCAACAAGCTGATCGAGAATCTGGCCTTCACAGACATATTCATGGCATCTCTTCACATGCCCTTCTGGCTCATCAGTCTCCGCTATGGACGCTGGGTATTTGGCCACGTTCTTTGCCAGTTAGTAGGTTTAACGCAGTTGATATTCGGCATCTCGTCGCTGTTCACCATGACAGGAATCGCCTTCAACCGCTACTTTAACATAGTCAGGCGAAACCTGTACCTGAAATATTTCTCCACTAAGAAGACCACTTACTTCATGATCCTCTTTGCATGGGTGGGTCCCACAATCGCCACCACACCACAGCTCTACGGCTGGGGCAAGATCGCCTACCATGATCTCTTTTCTGACTGCACTTGCGTATGGAACCTACCCGACGTCTCTTTCATCGTAACACTTTGCGTAATGACCATTTTCCTCGCGGCTGCCATAATAACGTGGTGTTACTATACTATTTACAAAACCGTCAAAGCCAGCGCGCAGAGGATGCAGGGACATGCTGCCAAGAACAACGTGCGAAGTAATGCGTCTACCAAAACAAGCGAAAAAACAGAGACAAAAGTCCTCAAGACCTCGTTTGTAGTCGTGTGTGTTTACATGACGTGTTGGACGCCTCTTTCTGTCATGGGTTTTATCGAAGTGTTCGGAGGAGAGAGTCCACGCGGGGCCCACCTATTTGCTTACTACTTCGTATTCTGCAGCAGCCTCACCAACCCCTTCATATACGGTATCATGAACCCGCAGTTCCAGCAAACCTTCAGAAAGATGCTTCGTATACGAGTCAACGATGCGCAACCTGTCTCCAGCCGTGTAAACGACAACGGAACGAGAAGCAGCCCGTTGGATGGCCACCCAATTGAAGATATACCAAGCATATCCATACAGACGGTTCCAGTGTTTCGAATCCAAAACCAAGTTGAGACGACCTCGAGCCCCAATGCCACTGACAAAACCGACGCGTTGGTGAATAGTTTGCCTGAAGATGAAGATAGCTCTAACGCACCTGCAAAGCCCTTGATATTGAAACGGGGCCAAGCTTGGAAATGATGAATAAACCGCTCCATATATAGGATAAATTTTTGGGTTTTTTGGAATACTTTACTTTATTTAATCTCTTACATCAATTTTGATACCATATAAACTTTTTTTTATTTCTTTTAGTGACAAGCTTTAAAAAAGTGTCGAGGAGTCTGTGACGAGCAGAAATGCATGAATCAATAGACCCGCTTCAAAGGCCATTATAGTATCTTAATGTTGAATGCTTGTTTCACATCTACTTGGTATTTGACAACTTATGGAACCGAGATTATTCTTACCTGCCATCCTTTTCTTCTGCTCGCCCACCTTCACTAGCAAGGTATCAACTCATTCTTCGGGTTCTTCGCTCTCCATCATTCACATCGCGATATTGCTAGAAGTTTCTGAGGAGGCGCGCTTTTCCCGCTGTTTTTCATGTCTCGCAGGTTGTTAGAACTAGGTGGTGAGCAAATCAATTATTTCCCAAAGCCGAAGACAAATCACGATATTTAGCGATAACCGACTTCAATAATTGTTTATCATTTGATTACCACGTTTATTTTTTCTTGTTTTAATCACTCTCTGACAGCTCAGCGAAGCGATCTGCCATTTTTCACACAGTTATGCGTTGGGAGACTATTATTTCTGAGCAGTTATTTACAGGTCACGTGGTGAGCGCTCCGCCGATGAAAAGAAAGAAATGAATCGACTGATAATTGTTCTTTCATGCAGAAAATGTTACTAAGTTAAATTTATTGAGATCTTGTAATTTCACCTAGCTAATTGTTTATTTTTGCTGGAATAACCCCAATGTTACAACAAGCAAAGTGAATCATTAACTGGCTACACACCTAAGTTCTGACTGCCACATATGATATAGTTGGATCACTATATTATACTTGAGCGTAAACACTTACAAAAATCGTAAAGAAGGCTTTATTATCTTACCATTGAACCTAGTGTATTGTATTTAGGAAAACGTCATTTTATGTCTGCATGTCTAAAGCAGACGCGAAAGTGCGTTTTTGGAAGAATTTGGAAATCCTCTTCAAAGTATGGCTCTTTCCATTCAACCAAACATAGCGGAGCTGCAAATGGCACGGTATAATTTCCTGGGAAAATTTCCTAATAACCGAACAATTTTAGAAAGAATCAGCAGTTTCCTCTATGGAACTGCCGACGTTAAAAATTTACAATGCCTTTGAATGAGACTAAACAGAAATGAATTGGGGTGGTTCGCATTATTTGAAAAAGAAACCGTCAATAAAAATATCAAACTTCATAGTATTTACAGTATGGTAGCATCAAGATGCTTTTGTGCGCTGCAAAAATCTAGTTGGACAAAAGGACGACATTTCACAGTCCTTGCTCATACATGACTCAACTGTAAGCAGCTGAAAAACATTGTTCCCTTGCAATACCCTGAAGGACAATTTCCTACCCGGCTTCTCTTTTGATCGTCTAGATTCTTGGAGTAAAATTTTCACTAATTCAACTAGACGTTGTTTTCCTTTCCGACAATTTCCAGTGGATTATCTCTTTCCAAACATAGTTACGGCATATACAGACCGAAAAAGATTTTAACAAAGAAAATTTCAGCGGGAGTAAGATTTTGACCGGAAGTGGTATTCATGTGTTTCTTTCTGGAGGGTTTCACTGAAAATGCTCCCCGTAAGCCAGTTTCGAACTTCTTGAAGCTTTTAAGTTGCTGTGATCGAACTGAGATCGCTGAACCTGCGATACCTTCGGAAAGGAAGCCAGAATTAAATTACGAAAAGAACCTTAGTCCAAGAATCTAGACTATCAAATAATGTCTCCAGACCCATTCTTTCCTCGTATTGAGGCTCCGAAGGCTAAGAAGTACAAGCATCTCAGAGGATGATAACGTTGTTTTCTCAGGCAATCCCATTAGGACTTGGGAGAGAAACATGGCGCCTCCAGTTCATGCAATTTTTGTTTTCCTGGTTCTGTGT